ACTCTGTTAACAGTTTTTAATGACTATAGCGATCTAAATCACAGTGCATGCTTGGACTTGCAGTCGCAGGTCAGATGGCTGTGTGGCACAGTGTAGGGATGTGGGGGCAGGGTAAAGCTTTTAATGCTAGCTTGCCCTTTGAAATGAAGGGAAAAAGGTCGCCTCCCTCCAGACAGCTTGCTTTCTACTGTGGCCTGCTTCTCACTGTTACCTATGCCTGTAGAGCAGAGGGGTCTACATCAGTCCCCTGAGGTGGCTTCATCTCCCTCTGATAGACTGGCACTATTCCCAGCCCTGTGTGGGGCAGGTCCAGGGCAAGGCTGGGAGTGCAGCACCACATAGACATGTCTGATACGGTTCTGTTATCAGATCGGCATCTGGTTTGTGAGCACATGGCCGGCTGTCACTGTGGCCTTCAGTAACATCAGGGGTAGTTGTAGCTTATGCTTGTATTGTAATCGCAGTGGCAGTTTCAGCTTCAATCAATTTCATGTTCTTGATGTTACCCTGGGCTCTTAGGCAAGTGGTAAACAAAATTGGTATTTGACAACATTCCTAAAAATTGCTTATGATACAGCTTTCCCCCCCCATTAAAAAGCCTTGAAATACTAATTATGATGGCATTCACCAGGTTTGCCAACCAGTAAGTCACTACTGCTGCCACCTTGGCTGCAGAAAGAGGACAGGAAGGGACTGGAGCCTAGCTGGTTTAGTATGTATGTGTCTCGTAAGAGTACTTGTGGGTTTTGTACCAAGGAGGGCTTCTGGAACCTGTGTCTTCTCTTTAGTCACAGTGAGACAGCATGAAAGACAAAACAAAACTGCTTTCTTAATGTGTCAGAAATGTAGACTTAATTAGGAATTTAATATAAAAATTTAAAAAAATAAAATACTATGTCAGATGTCCCCCGCAGCAGTGAAGTGAACACATTACAAAGAAAGTCTGTGTTAATTAGCATGTATTGACAAAAGTGCCACAACAATTTATAATTGTTTGTCCCTTTGTAAATTGATAAAAAAAGCACGATACAGAAATCTATCCATACATAGCATAAGACTTTTACAGGTAAGACATTTGTACATCCATTTAACCTCAGGTGATCCACGCATTCAGCCTTGACCACTCAGGAGAAGTCCGATTTTTCTACTTTCCATTTTCAGCACTGAACATTCGCTCCTAGAAAGAGAGCAGTAAACATACAGCAGCTGAACAAGAGTTTTGGACGTGGACTGTGCTTTAGCAAAGCAGGCTTAAGTCGCTACTAAGCAGTTGTCCAGTCAGGAAGAACAAATACCTAGATCAGGTACACTTGGTGTGCATTCCCCCCCTGCCCCCCAAACGCACAGTTCAGTTAATCCCATTTGAAAGACTCCCCATAAACTGACAGAAAAAACTTTCACAGGGCTTGGCTACACTCAGTTATCTGTTCTTGGTACCTCCTAGTGCCACATTACAGGCATGATTTATTTCCGGCTCACTGAAGATTATTTACGTGTCTTGTACCACTGCTAACAGATAAGGAGTTTAGAATTAGACCTGAGAGACTTTTCACTTCGACAGTACTGTTATCTTGATTAGCTGCCAGTCTAAACGCTGCCTTGGGCCTCAAACAGCAGGTGTGGCTGTATACATCTGGCATGAACTCTTTCTTGAGATGCAGTGAAGTTTACCAAGTTCACTTAATTTAGGTGGCCAGTTTGCTAGCTGCCTGTCCTACATAACATGTACCACCTGTATAAAAACCTGATCGGACTTGCTTACAGGTTCCTAATCCTTAGCCATACCACAAGGAACTGTAGGTTAGCTGCAGTACTTGGGAGGAACATGAGAGGTGGCAGGATGCAGCATGATATAACATCTACCTTTAACATCCTCTCCAGTTTAATTGCATCTGCAGCAAATTTTCTGATCCCATCAGATAATTTCTCCACAGCCATTTGGTCTTCATTATGGTGCCAGCGGAATGCCTTCTCATCCAGGTGGATCTTCTCAAGCTCACATGCCTGAGCTGTGCAAGGGGAATTGAAAGAGAGACAAACCATATTATCAGATTATTATCAAATACCACAGGCTTCTTAAAACAGTCTCAAGATTCTGACCGTCTCCAGCTGTTGAAAAATTTCAAAGACCACTTTCAACAGCACTTGCTACATGAGCACACTTTGGGCTGCAGGACTGAAAATGCTCCGGATCTGGCTTTGGAGGGGTGGGGAAGTCATCTAGATAAATCAGTTTCTCTTAAAATACAATGTTTACATGTATGCCATTAGCTTGTATCTGCTTCTGAATGGTACGGTACTTTCAGGCCTATTATAAAGAATTATGCAACGGTCCTACGCAGTGAGACATTCTAAGCAAATACGCTGAACAATTAGGTCTTTGATTATTTGGCAAGTACGTAACAAAAGCTCAATTGATAACGTGCCTACAAGGCAGCTAGCACCCTGTAAGCAGCAACCCATGACTACAGCTGTGCACAAATCTCATCTTCTGAGTTGTAAAGTAGCATTTTAATGAGGCTACGGAAAAGGAAGAGTAGTGCAATGGGAACATATATTCAAAAGCATCATGGCACAGTATCACTAGATGAAATCACTTAGTCTTGCACGTGATTAATTTCTAGAGCTTCTGGAGGGAAAACACATCTCTTGGCATGTCTAGAGCTAATTGCATCACTGATGCAATATTAACATAAGATTAAACCGGGTTTGGCATCTTTGCTAATATTCAGTAAAATTTCATCCCAAGCATATGAGGTAGAAAGTTCCTTCTGCTCTCCCTGTCCTCTCGGGAGAGGGTACACAGTATTTAAGCACACCCAAAACCCATCGTCATTCCAGTTAGTGTGCTCAGTGGGGCCCAAGACCCTAAAGAAGTGACTGTGTGTCAGCAACTATAGCAGTACTGTTGTAATCAGGCTACAGTATTTCCATTAGAGAGGGGTCAATATCTATCCTTAAAGCAGAATGGAAGCAAGCACCACAGAGCTGAGTGGAACCACGTACTCTTAACATTCAGGAAGAAAGGGAGACTGAGCAAGCCCATGTTACATAGGAGTGGACTTACCCTCCTTTACACTCAGTGTGGGAGTTAACTTGACATACTCTTTGCTGAGCTCTGCCAAAAGCTTGGGTGAAATAGTGAGATAGTCACAGCCTGTAAGCGCTTTTATTTCTCCCGTATTTCGAAACGAAGCACCCATCACGATAGTTTTGTAGCCAAACTTTTTGTAGTAGTTATAGATCTTAGTGACACTCTTCACTCCTAAACAGGAGAAATCAGCAATTTTCAGAATAATTTATTTGAAGTACAAATGATTTAGAACATGCTCAAAACCAACATTTTTTTCATTAAGAGGCTTTATACAAGTAAACTGCAGTTTGAATGAGTAGCTACTGTATTTTTAGTAATACGTTAAAAGGAAAGCTTACCTGGATCCTCTGAAGGCTCGTAGGTTTTCTTATCTCCATTTATAACATACCAATCCAGGATACGTCCTACGAATGGGGAAATCAGAGTAACTCCAGCTTCAGCACAGGCAACTGCCTGAGCAAAGGAGAACAGCAGGGTCATGTTGCAGTGAATCCCATACTCTGCTTCCAGAACCCTGCAGACACAGGCTGGCTTAAAACAGCAGCTTGCTCACCTACTGAATTTACATTTTAGTAACAAGCTAGTAGGTTAAACGACTGAATGTCTTGAGTTAAATTAGGAACGTGGTACAGTTTATAAGCTTTAAAGTTTTAAGCTAACAGCAGATGTTTTGCACTGCCAGACTCTGCTTTATTTAATGCTGTTCCTTGAACCAAATGCAGACAACTTAGCCTGGTATTTCAGGAAACCCTGTTTACAAGTGGCCTGGCCCTTGTATGAACAAACTTTTCCTGTTTCAACAGAAAGCTGTAGCAGAGCACCTTGCTTGCTAGCTGTAGCCCTAGTAACAGATTTCCTGGTGCAGTGCTTTCAGAACAATTCTTTATTTTAACTGCAGAACGCGTTTGTCAGTCAGGTGCCTGTGAACAGGCAGAAGCATGCTATGAGACTCAGCGTACCAGGTACAGAAATACTTACTTGCCAGCCTGGATTCCTTCCCATGTTGAAGAGAGCTTTATGAGAATACGATCTTTACCAATTCCTGCTTCCTTATAAAGGTCAATGAGGCGCCTGGCTCTTTGAATCATTCCTTCCTTATCAAAGGACAACCTTTGAAACAAGAGGAGGACTGCTTAAAACCGACTTTTTTTTTTTTTAAAGGCTCTTCCCCCCCCAAACCTCATTGAAAAACATTGTCCGTTTTATCAGCATTTATATGCCAATAGCAGGTTTTTGTTCTCAGAGATACTTCCTAGATTGTGAGCCCATCGAGCAGGTGTAGGACAACACTGCTACTCTTTGATTTAGAGGATCCAGAGCTCAAGATAGCTTTCTTTGAGAAAGTTATAGACTAAAGTTTTCCTCAAGTTTTTCATAACGAATGCAGAAGCTGAGCATTAGAAGTGAATTGGCAATGAGCAGGAGGTTAACAGACAAATCCTATACATGTCTTGAAATAAACCGTTAAAACAGATCTCGGTAAATTGAGAAGACATTATCACACAGAAGAGAATGAGCAAAACTCTTAAGTATACTGGAAGCATGAGGTTTCCCTTGCTTAAGGAACAACAAGAAGATTACAAAAATCCAAATTCAGTATTACTTGTTTTCATAGTTTTGTCACCAAGTTATAGTCAAGCAAACTAAGTAAAATCCATTCTCTAATTAAACAAATATTAACAATATAAACTCTTGCTAGCCTTATAACAGTGAGCTGTCTAGTCAAGCGCATCTTTCTCCAACTCACATCATGTCTCTTTTTGTATGTACAAATATCCAGGGTAACCCAGAGGAAAAAGAGCCAACCTTGCATCTACTTCTGTGGACACACGGCCAGGTATCCTCTTCAATATTTCAGCTCCAAATAATACAAAAAGTTTGTCACAAGCATTTTTGATCTGCTCCTCTTCTGACCTGAAAACCACAAAGAGCAAAATCATTTCTATGGGGGGAAAAAAGCACATTCACACCTTGCCATGGATTTGAAGATCAAATTTCACAGCCCATTTAACATTAAATTCCAGAGTTCAAATAGCCTCTTCTCCTCTGCTCCATGTGTGTGTTCTGCCCTCTGTGCTCCACCAGCAGTATTAGCCTTTGGATACTATTTCCTATAATGCTGTCAACTCAAGAGTGCCTTCCTAAGCAGTCCTAGAAGGCCACGCGTCTTAAATATAGATCTACTGAGATAAAAAACCCTCTTTACTTACCCACCAAGTTTTTTCCCATAGGCAACAGCATCATCCACAAGTTCCTGGTAAGCTGGCATCTGAGCAGCAGCTAGTATCAGAGATGGGTTTGTGGTGGCATCTAGGGGCTTGTACTCATCAATTGCTAGGGAAATAAAAATAGTCTGTTCAAAACAATCAGCAGGCCTGAGCAATTAGAAGGATTTTGCTCAAATACCTGAGAACGTGTAACACGGCTGTAGGACAGTAGCGTTCGCGATAGAGCAGACCAGTGCACAATGATGTTTAAATACCACTGCCTGAAAGCTGGCTTGTGCCAGAACTACCAGAACAAGGTTAACAGAGCTACAGTAGTAAGACACAGCAAAGTTTACTCACTACTACAGATGCTGCCCAAAAGAAAAAAACTTGTAGAAGTGACAGATGAAGAGAAGTGGTACTAATTTTCAGCTCCTCACATCTGTCCATATCATATTCACCAGCATAGCTGAGTTCCAGGCATCACAGGGGGAAAGTAAAGACAGGGGGATCTTTCTAGGCTTTTGGGTTTTTGTTTTGTCTACGACCAGAACAGGAGAAAAACTCATCTGTTGGAAAAGTTGCTAGAGCCTTACTGCATTTTAAAACTTTTTCAAACAGTTGCAGACCAGTTCTTAGTATCTGTTCTTGCAGTTTCCTTGTACTACCAGGCTTCCTTCCTTGTAGAAGATATTTGAACCTTTGGCTTACCTAAAGCCCCGGACTACACCTATTTCAGGTGATACCAGTTGTTTACCAGAGTAGGCTGTGACCATGCATGTGCATTGTCTGGCCCTGATCAGAGCTGAGCTCCTGGCATGCAGAGCCTGACTCAGCAAACAGGGGAGAGCCTCTGCAGGCCCTTCAGCAATTTCTGCTTACAAGCTCCCTTGTTAACACAACTAAATGTCAAAAAGAACAAAATATTTATTACCAGCTCATTTTCCTCAGCGTTGTTGCACAGGGATGAAAGCCCAAGTTAGAGAGCGCAACTTTATTTTTTCAGTCATAGAAGAAAATAAGTATTGCTTTTCCATAGCTCCCTCCTAGGCAATGATCATGATCCTGGAGCAAGTCCACTCCATACAAACAGGTCCTTCAAAACACACTTCAACTCACATGGATACTGCTTAAAATAAAGTAAGATGAAACTCAGTTCTGAAGCATACGCACAATTTTAGAGAAGTCTGTTTTGACAGCACTTGTTACTCCTCTCCAGCCTTGCAGCACTTGAAGACTCTTATGGGTCTCTGGCAACATGCGTAAATTAATCTCGTTAAGTCTGTCACCCAGTTTTCCTCACCCAGTCTTCCTTTAGGTCTGTCAGGAACCAGTTAGCAGCCCGAGTTTTAGGTGTGCAGTACAAGCTTTCAACGGGGGGCGGTCCGTGACCGTTGTGCCACCTTTCCTCGTTGTGAGCACAAAGCTGGGCAAAAGAGTAAGCGTATTCCGGTCCGGCTCAGTCAAAAAGCCAAACTAGTGCAGCTGCTGGAGGAGCCGCCACCGCTTACTGCGGGTGCGGTGTAGGAAAGGACGCTGGTCTGAATGGTCCTGCACCGCACTGACACCTTTATCTACAAACAAAACCGGGAACTGGTGTTAGCAACAACTGCACCTTAACCAGCATCAGTGTTTAACCTGAACAGGGAGGGAGTCAGATGTTGACTGTAGCCTTGTTTGGACTGTAAGGATTGACAGGTGACAACAGGCAGCCAGAGATCAACTGTAAAACTGTTTCAAGGAGCTTGTTAAAACTTTTCGGTGGACAGCGCTCGGCCGCCTTGCAGCCACCCGTACACAAGGGGTGTGCTGTGCCTGTGGCCCCCCTCGGCCATCACAAGGGGTTGGGTTTCTTTTTTCATCATGCTTTTTTGAAACCAGGGTAGACAGTGTAATGTTTTGAATTCATGCAATTCCAGCACACGCTGGGCTTTAGCCAGGTTTGTCGCTACTCAAAGGTAGGCAAATCTGACAAGGCTGAAGTTACCTAGTCACTTAGCGTTTCCAACTCTCTCGATGCAACGCTTGGTAAAGCTGCATCAGTGCTCCCTACTTCTCATGGTATGGTGGTTGTCCGGCAGGTCAGATGGACTCTTGAAGTAACAGTTTCTCCCTAACGTTTCATGCAGCCTGACACTCGGAGTCAGGCAATCTGAAGCGCTGAACAGATACAAGTACGTAAATACACGCAGACAGCATCACGGGGCACGTGTCTGAGCTGTGGCTACCCCTGCGTGCTCTTCATCTTAAATTTACTAATATAAGGCATTTGGCGGCTGCCGTTTAGGATTGTTTATTCATCACCTATAGGATTAGGCAGGCAGATGACCACCGGCTTCAGTGACGGCAGAACAGGGTTCAAGGAGCATTGCTCTGTGCAACCCAGAGACGTTCAGGGGAGGGATTTTCCAGTTCCGATGTAGCGGGACAGTTGCGTGCCCGTGCAGGCGCGCGGGCAGCGACAGCTTCGGAACAAGTGGCTTGACAATCGAACGCCACCTCCCTTCCTCGGAAAGGAGAGCGCTTGCTCGTTCACGTGAGATAAGGAAAACAAAAGCGCTCTTGCGTTATTTTCTTTGCTTCACAACTGAAAAAACAAATCTACACTGGTTATTGGAAAAACCCAACTTTGTTAGCCCCGCAGAGCTTATCTTGTCGAGTCTTGGCACCTCCAGTAACAGCATGTGGGTTTGTGCCCACTCCAGGTCAAACTGGGGGGGGAAGAAAAGTCATCGGAGGGTCCCACGGGTGGAACTGGATCGAACCCCCAAGCTGGCAGCTGCGAAGGCCTGGGTTCAGAGGGGGCGTACGGCAGAAGGAGGCGCGGCAACCGGCAGACTGAGCTGGCAGGGCGGTGGGGCT